TTGCTCAATTCTTTTCACCACCTACAAAGACATCTTAAAAAAGGATCTATAATAGATATAAATACTTTGAGCACCAAATTGATTAATATGATTTTACCTTCCCAGGACAAATAAGCTTTTTTCCATCCATCTAGCCTTTTTCAAACCTTTTGGATCACTAGCTCCAAAAAAATTAGGGAATTTGGATTATCCCCTAAATCCATGGATCAAAATTTCGTTTCGACCGTTTCGAAACGTTTCCATTTTTAAGGAGATTGAATCGAATCAGTGATGGAATTGAAATTCTAATATTTCAAGGTATTTTATAATATTTAAAGGTGTATTGCAAAGTTCTAATGCATTTGCACATTTGTTTTAGAACGTTTCAAGGTATTTTAAGATACTTTGGTATATTTTATCTAATATTTTGAATAAATAATTAATTTTTTTTATTTTGTTTCGAAAACGTTTAACGAAATTTTGATTCTTGCCTAAAGGTAACTCCAAATACTTTAATAGACATTTTGAAATAAAGCATCCAACAACTTCTGCTATTCTAACTAACTAGTTTTCTTGTGCATTAATTCCTCCAATTGTACCGGTTGACATATTTTATTTAAGGCCCGACACCAACTCCAAACATTGCAAGGTTAGAGGGATTGATTGAATATTTTCTTCATTTCCACCACAAAAGAGAATATTATCATCTACAAATTAAAAATGCGTCACTTTTATTCTTTCCCACCTAATTCTGAAACCCTCAAGTACCCCTCCCCGGTTAGCTCTTTCCATCGTCGCATGTAGCACTAACCACTAGAGTAAAAAGAAAGAGAGAAAAATGATCTCATTGTCTAAGACCTCTAGTTACTTTAAAGCACCATTTTGAAGCCTTCTTTACGATACTGGGGAAATTCACTGATTTTAAAAAAACCCATATAACATGTGCCCCTTTTGATTCATTCCATTACATAATCTAGAAAATTTCAATCGAACATATCATAAGTTTTTTCAAAATCCATCTTAAAAATAATCCCTTCATTTTCGTCATACTCCTCAATAATCTCATTGGCAACGAGCACCATATCCAAAATTTGTCTTCCCCTAATGAAGGCTCCTTGGAAATCACTATGGTCTCTTCCCGTACCTCTTGAAGTCTCCTCGACTAAACTTCAGCCAAAACTTTATATAAACTCGTCACTAATCTAGTAGGACAGAAATCCTTTATCCTAGAACACATCTCTTTCTGGGAATAAGACAAATGATAGTGACATTTGTGCATGAATTCACAATTCCATTCTTGAAAACTTTTGCAAATACATTCATCAAGTCTCCCCGGGGATATATCACCACTTAACTCAAAAATTGCCATTGTGACCCCATCCACCCCAAAGGGCCTGTTAAGCCAATCACACTTTGCACTCTAAAAGATTTAAAAATTCTTATTTTGCACCCTTAAATATTAAATTTCCCACATTACACCCTCAATATATTAAAAGTGTTGTAATGTAGTCCTTCTGTGAGCTTCCGTCGCTCATTTCGTCCAAAAACACCCCATTGATATTGACAGAATAAGCAACGAAAGCTAACGGAAAAGACGACATTGCAACACTTTTAATATATTGATGATGCAATGTGAAAAATTTAACCTTTGAGGGTACAAAGTGGTAATTCTTAAACACATAGGTAGTAGTACTTATGTATTCCCATTTCTTAAGTACTAATGTGTTGATTGTTGATCCCTAATGATCATTATTATGTACTTTTTGCCATTCCTTTTTCTTCACACTCCAAGGAAGAGGAAAGACATCAATTTCAATCATTTAAAACCTCATGGTCAATACGTCCAATGTTTTCCTTTTAATCCCGGTTAAATTTTTCATTATGCATTGTTTCCATAATCTACCAGATTAGACCTTTGTACTTAAAAAACTTCGTAACTTAAACTGTACAAACTGCAACTTCACAAGGCTAGTACAAATGAAAATAGACTCAAAGAACATCATTTCCGTCAAAATTACTTTTTGGAGACCAAATATATGTTCAAAATAACTTGTAAAATTGAACATAAGCTGCGGATTTTCAGGTTTCTATAGGTTATGTTAACTTTAGAAATTCACCAAAATTTGAGTTTTCATCCTTTTTGTATCAAACCAAAGCCAAAAGAACCCTTTTTGCTAATCTACTACTAACCCTAAATGTTTATGAATCATCAACCAATTATAGCTTGGACAAATAATCCCTATAACACCTATTGTCCAAATTTCTTTAAAGTGTTTAAGCTCCATTATTAGCAACTTTGAAGTTCATATTTTGTGAAATACTTGTAGAGTCCTTATAATTAGACCAAGTAGAACATGATTTTCCGTTAAATTCTTATTTTTTGATTTTTATTAACTAATTTATTTCCAATTTATGAAAGAATATATACTTGAGATCAAGAATCATACCTTGTTTGACAGTAATTCCAACTTTAGATCACTTCCTTGAATTTTTCCCTCTCTTTCTTTCCTCTTTTTTTCTTACTCCTCTTCTTTTCTACAAAAATACCTCCTCTACATAAGCTCCTCTTTTCTTTCTCTTTAATTACCATATATATATATATATATATATATAAAATAACTAAACATATAATAAATTTATGGTAAAACTATTGGTTTGAGAATAAATATGTCTAAAAGTGGAGTCTTTGGCATTAATTCGGATGAGTATGTTGTCAAAGATTTTGCTTCAGAGGCAGGTTGTGTTGATAATGAGTGGCTTTTGCTTTATTTAGGATTACTATTGGGGGTAGCCTGAGGACATTGTCGTTTTGGGATCCAGTGGTAGAAAGAATGAACAAAAGATTGGATTATTGGAAGAGGGCATATTTTGCGGTTGGAGGAAGAATTACTTTGATAAAAGCTTGTTTGACTAGCATCCTTTTATACTATTTGTCTCTGTTTAGAATTTCAGTGGCAGTAGTTAGGAATTTAGAAAAGATGAAGGATTTTCTTTGGTTAGAGATGAGAGATGTTAAGCTGGATCATTTAATGTGTTGGGAGACAGTTTGTAAGCCTATAGACAAAGGTGGATTGGGACTTGAAAATTTGGTGTCTAAAAATATTTCTTTGGTAGGTAAATGGTTATGGAAGTTTCCTTTAGAATCTAACTCTCTTTGGCATAAGGTAATCAGGAGAAAGTATAATCTTCAGAGGAATGGGTGGGATACTAAATTAGCACATACTGTAACCCATATGAGTCCTTGGAAATTCAGTTCACAAGTTTACTCTTCATTTCTTCCTTTAACTCGGTGAAAGTTGGAGAGGGTTCTAAAGTGCTATTTTGGGAAGATATATGGGTTGGGGATTCAACTTTTATTAATATTTTTCCATATCTCTATTGTTTGTCCTCACTACTTGAGTCTTCTATGTCTTCTTTTATTATTGTAGGGATAAATTATCACTCTTGGGACTTCCATTTCTTCAGATATCTTAATGACGGGGTATCAGTTGATTTTACTTCTTTGATTCATCTTCTCTATGATTTCCAACCCAGTTTTCCTTATGATTGAAGAATTTGAATTGTTGAAAATTCTGATGTTTTTTCTTATAGATCATTTTATTCATATCTTGTTAGCTCTCATAATGAAGAGTCATTCTCCTTAGCTAATTTCATTTGGAAAGCTAAGGTCCCCTCGAAAATAAAGACTATTGTTTGGTTTGTTGTCCTAAATCGAGTTAATACTAATGATTTGTTGCAGGTGCGGAGACCTTACAAAGCTTTGAGGCCTGATATTTGTCTTATTTGTTTTAGAAGTGGAGAATCTAATGCTCATCTTTTCATTGTGTATTCATTTGCATGGGGTTTTTGAAATACTTTGTTCCAAGTGGCTGGTGAGGCTTGGGTTTGTCCTCCTACAGTAGAAAAGATGTTGCAAATCAAGTTTTGGGGTTTGGGGAATAAGAAGGAAGCGAAGGTATTATGGAATTATGTGATCATGACAACTCTTTGGTGTATTGGATGGAAAGAAATGACAGAATTTTCAATAATCATCATCTTCCTACAGAATGAGTATGAGAACGAATTGTTTGCATGGCTTCACTTTGGTCCAAAGCTTCCGGGAGTTTTGGAGACATGCCTTTATCCGATCTCTAATGGAATTGGAAGACAGTGTTATCTTAGCTTTCACTGTGAATGTTTTTTGTGTTTTCTTTTTATTTTAGAGGATATCTTGTCCTCCATATTATAATTTGTTTTTTCCTTCTTCCATTCTATAATAAAACTCTTCTTTTATATTATAAAAAAAAATAACTAAACATATATACACATACAGAGGTGCCTTCATCTAGCACTTTCTTTCTCTTTCTTTACGCAAGCACACACCTATTTGAAAAGTCAACAACAATGGTGGCTTGATTAGTTAGGCTAATATTTCATTTAATACCATTAAACTTGATTAACTGAAGTAAATCCATGTTATTATGGTCCTTAAGTAGATTTAAGTAATTATTAATCAAGTGTACTTAAGTGTCCTTAATTAAGTCTTAATCTTTTAGTAGTTGCTGAAGTAAATCCATGTGATTAGGGTCCTTAATTACGTTTAAGTAATTACTACTCAAGTGCACTTAAGTGTCCTTAATCAAGTCTTAATCTTTTAGTAGTTGCCATCTGTTTCTGGTTTGGACACTAGTTTAGCCAAATTGCGCTCTGTAACTTTAGCCAACCTTAACTTCAGATGTCGCATTCTTAAATGTGATATATGTTTTCAATGTGAAATGTCATTCTCCGTGCGCTGATTATCATGTTCAATCCTCTACAACATGATGATCTTTAGTATTTTTAGCCCTTTTTAGTTTGGGATATTAGTTTAACCACATTGAGCTTTTTAACTTTCACCAACCTTAACTTCATACCTGGATGTCGAGGTGTTCCATCCTCTACAACACGGTGATCCTTCGTATTTGTCACGTGTTTTAGATTGGGATTATGTAGTCCCTTTCAAAGTTAAGGGATACCAACAATCAAATGATCATAGCTTGCACATGTATATAAGGATACCATTGGTAAGGGTTATGACAAGTTCCATGGCACTTAGTGTTGTAGCTTGGGCCGGTTGGCTCAGGTTAAAGGCTTGATCATGCCCAATTCTTGAGAGCCTTATAGAAATATTTTTACTATCTTCATTGGAATTTTGATATCCTCGTCAAAAGGAGATCAAATTTTAGGGCATGCTTAACCATATAAATTATACTCTGTGACCAAAAAAAAAAAAAAGCCATATAAATTATACTCAAATGGGGGAATCATTATTATCCTTCTAAATTATTCTGACAAGGAAAGTAATCTATATGGTGTAAAACACAAACTAGATGAACTCAAAAGTGTTGTCACTTCTTTGTCTAATCTTCTCTCTCTCTCTCTCTCTCTCTCTATAATCTATATGGTGTAAAACACGTCCTACATGAACTCCGAAGTGTTGTCACTCCTTAGTCTAATCTTCTCTCTCTCTCTCTCTCTCTCTTCTGCCAACCCCAGCTCTTGCTGTGGCTTTTCTAAAGCAGTGGCCAACATAAGTACATGCTAAAATATGTGAACTTGTTATAGTATTTTTTAAAATTCTTCCATTCTCTGGGTTAATTCTATTGCTATTTTCTTCACCTAGCAACAGGAAGCATATGGCATTACCCTCTGAACGTTGATGTCTACCATACTATTAGTTTGCCTTGTTACTTTGTTATTTATGCATCTTGTCATTCCAGGGTACTCAATTATATGATCCAAAGGCTGGTGGGTGGCGAGATCTAGGTATGCTTGATGTTATGCAGGTAAGACAAAACCTGCACTTGGAAAGACTTGCATGTGAAATCAAACTAAGTTTTTGATTTGTGAACTTGCTACTTTGTCTGTTTCCTGGGGCAATCCTGTTTTAGATTTTTGGACGTGCTGGAAGACCTCAGTTTGACAAAAGCGGTGAAGGCATTATAATCACAACTCATGACAAATTAGCCTATTATCTACGACTGCTGACGAGTCAACTTCCCATAGAAAGTCAGGTACTGCTTGTAGTTTAAATAAATGTAGGGATCTTTAAATCTCATGTGAGGAATAGAAGTTTGGTACCCTAATGACTGGTTGCTTCTATATGTCACATAGATATTAATGGTGGTAGCTCATGGAAAAAATAATTAATGCCTTACGAGAAGTCTTGCCATTGACTTTCCATCGTCATGTTGATCGTTTTCATGTCATGACGAGTACACATTAGTTTGGAATATGGTTTGTTTAAATGTTATGAACCTTTTTTCCTGTTTGTTTTATGTTACACTTGTAATCCCATGTAGTGGGGGTGGCCCTTTGGCAGCAATAAGGTTGCTCCAGTGTGACGAGTCACCGAAACCTCTTTACATGCGGGGATAAGACTGGGTACATCTAGCCCCCTTATGTCCTGCAGTGACGGGATACTTGTGCATTGGATTGGACTAGCATTTGCAATGCCATATTTCTTGTAATTTATAAAAGAGTCCCTGTTGATAATTATATTTCTTGGGGCATTGTTATTGTTGACTATAGTCCTTTTGCAGTCACGAGTATGAATTCAAACTTTTGACTTTGGTAAAAGTTTGTCAATCTCTTATGTGTATTTTATTTATTCAAACTTATACGAGTCTACATGTATTGAAAGACAAACAGATTCAAGTTGTAGATTTTAGACTTAGAAATTGGACCAAACAGCAACTGACTAGGTATATTGGAAGTTCGCATAGGTGAGATCCCGACACCTATTTGCTGTTCAAAATGGACAGTGGTAGGATATGTTTTTATATTCTTTAAGTGCAGATTAGTTCTTTAGTTATACCCGTACAATTGGGTTGTTTACTGTCTCTTTTGGCCTAGGCAATTCATACTGGCTGATTTGTATTTCATAGGTTGTTTGTTGGGGAAGACTCCTGGCTTGGTCATTTAATATTCATTTACGCTGCTATATTACATATACGTTCCAGCAATAAATTGGCCTTATTCATGGTGGTTGCCTTCAAAATATTTTGCTGAGTTACTTTTGGTTTATTATTTTTTAATTTTGCTTTTTTCTTTGACTGATGCAGTTTATTAGCTCATTGAAAGATAATTTAAATGCTGAGGTGGCATTGGGAACTGTGGCAAATGTCAAGGAAGCTTGTGCTTGGCTTGGTTATACGTATCTTTTTATAAGGATGAAAATGAATCCTTTGGCATATGGCATTGGGTGGGATGAGGTTAATGATGGCTTTTTTGAATGATAGTTTACCAATTTTCTCAAGTGTTATTTTATGCTTTTCTAATATTAAATATTGTGTGTAAACAAGTACTATTTATGCTGGTTTTACCTAAATGGTTTGCATTCTTATCATCACATCTCTTATTAGTTTTCATCTAATGAATGTTTTACATACTTATCATGCGGAGATTGTTGATGTCATATGCTAGATATAGAAACATACCAAATAGCATATGTAAATTTTCCAAACCTGAGAAGTATTATGCATTTTTGGAGGGAAGTAAGTTCTATGTGGCTACTCTTGTGTTGCTTACATCTTTACAACTTTTCCTGACATTAATTGATTTTCAGTTTTAGTGGTAGATGATGGTGAGGGACCTTCATGTAATAGTGGAGAAAATAGTTATGATATATTGGGATTCTATGACATATATCATCTGAGAAAAGGGCAAGGTGGATAATTTTGGCCCTATATAATACTTTGTTAATTGAAAATCACGTGAAGTTCACCTTTTTAAGAATTTCAAACGGGTTTGCCTCTATACAAGCTTTCATCTTGATGTGCTATCTCCATTTGTAGATAAGTGTGTTAGAGCATCCAACTCAAAACCAATTGACAATGAGTGGTGTAGCCCTTCAATTATATAAACTAACCTTGGCCTATGAAGCAGGATACATCTTATTGGCTCACATATCCGTGTCGGACACGCGAAATAGTGTTTGAATTTAACGTGGCACTTCTGGACACGTTGGAACAAATTTATGCTATTTCCTATTCGTTTAAAAGACTCACCGTTGCTAGTTATTTTTTTTGGCAAAATCGACAAAGTAAATGCACATCCCAGGAATCACACATCCAAACCTATAAGCAGAGGTTCTATACACAAGAGTTTGTGTACGATATATTTGTTGCACATGGAGCTAACAAACATACAAATAACCATGCATTTTGAGAAATTTAAATAGGTAAGAGGCTTAACTTACTGACAACAAAGGGTACAACTCTTATACTATGTTAGAGTGTTCAACTCAAAACCAATTGGCAATGAGTAGAGTAGCCCGTCAAGTAATAAACCAACATTGGGTGGTTCTAATTATTCGATATAGGGTACAAGCTCTCTTTACAGAAATGTCATTTTATTTGTCCTGTGCATGGTGATCTTAAAAAGTTAAAGAAAAGATCTATATTTCTTTAAATCTTTACTCAGTAAGTCAAAATGGCTGCAGCTGGCTTATAGGCTGCTAGGAAAGCTGTACTAGCTGTCTATTTAATAATTTCCTGCCAGCTCATCTTCAACGGTATGTGATCTAGGTCTGAAAGATGTAGATGATCTGCATAGCTGACAGATTGCTTATGTTGCTAGTAAGGGCAGATTTGGTTGTCTTTTTTATTTGTCACTCCCATTTTCTAGTTATTTTGGTCACTGGCTTATGTGATTTTTGCAACATGCCACTCATCAATTCTCACTTTTGCTATATTTGGTGTGTGCTTTTACGTGATTCTCTTTTGTCTATTTTCCAGGTAATTGCAGATCCTTCTCTGAGTTTGAAACAAAGAGCTCTCGTCACCGACGCTGCTTGTGCACTTGACAAAGCGAAAATGATGCGATTTGATGAGAAAAGTGGCAATTTTTACTGTACTGAGCTCGGTCGCATCGCTAGCCACTTCTATATTCACTATTCTAGTGTTGAAACTTACAATGAAAAGTTGAGACGCCACATGAATGACAGTGAGGTAATTGATTTTTGTACTTATATGTGATGCTTTTTTTACAGCCAACCCTTCACAAATCAATTTTTACTTAATGATTGTAATTAATGGTTACTGTTCTCAATGAATCTTTGACATAGGGACTTTGCCTATAGTTAACATTTTAAGTTACTGTTCAATTATTTTAAAGGTTATGTTTTTTCCCTTTTCGAACTGTAGACTACAGTCAGTAGCTTTTAGGAACACTGTGTTTGTTCAATAGTTGGAAATAGTTCTTAGAAAGTATATGTCCTCTATTTTAACAATAAGTATGTGACATTTATCTGGTAAGTAGAGCAGACTACTGCAATATTGTGATGAGCAGGGATATCCAATCCAAGCCACTTTGATGAATCAATCCTACTTCAGTGCTTATATGGGGGCCTGAGTTTTAAATGTTTTTGTAGACTGCATAATGTTGTTCTCTTATTAGTCATTTTGAGAGAGAGATATTCTGAATTCAACTTGTGTTGCTTTTCTTTTTTTAGGTAATTGATATGGTAGCTCATTCTTCTGAATTTGAGAATATAGTTGTTCGAGAAGAAGAACAAAGTGAGTTAGAAATGTTGGCCCGCACATGTCCATTGGAAGTTAAGGGTGGTCCTTCAAATAAGCATGGAAAAGTTTCCATTTTGATTCAGGTTATTGCTTATGTTTCACCCAAGCAGAAGGTTCAGCTCATATGCCTTTGAATTAGTAGGACAACTTTATCTGACAAACATTAGTTTGGTATTGCAGTTGTACATATCTCGGGGCTCCATAGAATCCTTTTCCCTAGTTTCTGATGCTGCATATATAAGTGCAAGCTTGGCTCGCATCATGCGGGCTTTATTTGAAATTTGTTTGCGCAGGGGGTGGTGTGAGATGTCTTCTTTCATGTTGGAATATTGTAAAGCTGTAGATCGTCAAATTTGGCCTCATCAACATCCCCTCAGACAATTTGACAAGGATGTTTCACCAGAAGTTTGTCACATAATAATTTTCTGTTGGTTAAACTGCATATATGTTTTACCTGAACCTTAATTTATTGATTACTATTATTTTGGTTGCTTTTTGTTCAGATTCTGAGAAAGCTAGAAGAACGGGGGGCTGACTTAGATCGCCTACAAGAGATGCAGGATAAAGACATTGGAGCTTTGATTCGTTATGCACCTGGAGGAAGGGTATTTCTCATTCTCAAAATGCTGTTTCAAAATTTTTTGTTATGCCACTTTCACTTGGTATCCATGAATTTGATTTGGCCCTTTTCGAAATGGCAGTTGGTCAAGCAATATGTAGGATATTTCCCATCAGTGCAGTTGTCTGCCTCAGTTAGTCCAATCACCAGAACTGTTTTGAAGGTAATTCCATTCTGAAGAAGTCCTTTCCTCCGCCAGTGGGTATGAAGTGTTGATAATTTTGTGTTTGACCACAAAATTAAATATTGATATACAACTCTATCTCACAGGTGGATTTGCTCATAACACCAGACTTTGTGTGGAAAGATCGCTTCCATGGTGCTGCAGAACGCTGGTGGATTCTGGTTGAGGTACTTCCTTGCTGTCTATGTCATAAGCCCTTGCCTGGTCCTTCTTTCAGTAGACAATAAGTTTCCTTGATGAATAGGTGGTTCTATTTTCGAGATATTAGGAAAGTTCTATGTTATTGTGAGAAAATAAAAGGAATTTGTTCTGGTAATTTTTTTTGGGTAGGAAAATTAATTTTATGAAAAATATAAAGGATATAGTACACAATGGACTTGATGATGGATAAGTCATCCATCCATAATGCAATCCATCAAAAGCACTACATGAGAATTGAAAAACAGAAAATCGTATGATTAATCAGTCCCAAGCCAATGTACAACTTGCCAAAATTCCAAAGGGAGGTATGCTTGCAAACCCCTTCAAAACTGGTGCCCAAAAAGTTGCAAAAAGTAGATTTGGTTTGATAGTCCTTCAACCACCTCATACTTACTGTCAAACATCCTTGCATTTCTCTCTTACCAAATCATCCAAATATTGGCAAAGATTGTACATTCCCAAAGAGTAACTCCTTTTCTTTTCTTGCCAAAGCCGTTATAATCCACACAAAACATGAAATATATAATTGTCTATTTAATAGGGAAAATTTCGTAACAGTTGTTGTGCGGATTTTTTATAGGTCAATACAGGAGTATTAGAATGATTTCAAGTAGCATTTGGGATGAACATATCCTTTTTTGATCAGTTTTTATTCTGTTTTTTTTTCATAGCCGAAGCATGAGGACAATGGAGATTAGCACAAATAGTACCCTAACTGTGATGGGAGGGTTCATTAGCCATTATGTGATGCTTTGAGTGGATGCAATGTTTTAGACAATTGATTTGTGCACACTTCATTATTTTAGTGCAGTCATACCAAAAATTGCCCTTATCCAATATGTCTCTTGGTTGTAGTTGTCTGGTTCATAAATGCATGTATTGTATTTTTGTTGCAAAAGGCAGTGGAAAATGCTTTGCCTTTTAAGGCATGCATTTTAGGATTGGTAGGAAGGAAAAGTCTGACATTCAATATGGGCAGGAGTACAAAGTCTGTTTTTTGCTAATCGTCAGTGTTTTAAACAAATAAGTTGACTTTTGTTCTTACAATACCCTACAAATGTCTAATGGACATACTTTAAACAACATTTATAGTTTTGTGATTAACCTAAGGTGTTTATTGTTATTTGATGGGTCTTCAACTCAGTTAGGGTGTGACTATCTCATAATCGCAAGCATACTCATGAGCTTTGGAATTCATTTATTTCTTGTAAGCATAGCTTGTCTTGAGTTAGTTGCCTATTGTTACCCCCTTAGCTCGTTGGCATGGCTATGGCATGCGGGTGCCTTGCCCAAGGGTGTCCCATGCCTTGGCCAAAGTGGGGGTGCGCTTGCCTAAGCATCCTTTTTGTGCAAAAACGGCTTTCTTCAGGACTTGGTGATTTACTTGGTTTGGTATCAATGGTGTTCGACAAAAGTTCCACGTGGTATGCATTGACTATGCCCTAGTCTCTCGTTATTATGACTCCTCTGTCAAATGATGTCTGTTGTTGCCACTAGGAAATTGTCTCTGAATACAATTATGGGGGGTCTTGTGAAGGGATGCCAGACCGGCAACCCTAGCAACCCTTTTGCCCGTTAGTCTTGGCACGCCAAAGCATGGCATGACCCAAAGAATGCTTGCCATGGGTGTGTGCAAGGGGTGCAAATTATGAGACCCGAAAAATGTGGTGCCAATGATTGGTGGGATCCATCGTTGGTGGAAGCACCATGCATGGCAATGTTGGGCACAAGCAACCAAGGCTTAGCCGGTGGGCTCCAATTGTGGTGTATTGCAAGTTTGGAAGATCAAGTCATGGGCTGGGCATGACTTGGCACGCAGGCAAGGCGGGATAACAAGGACATGGTTTAAGGTTGCGGTATCGGCCATTGATATGGAGAGCTAACACATCGGCCGCGACGCGGTATCGGTTGATACGCTCAAAACGTTATATAGAAGGCTCAAAAAAATTTGAAAAAATTATGAAAATTGAAATAAATATTATTTTTTTTAAATAAAAAATCGTTGTTCATGCATCATATCCCCAAAATGTATTATATAACATTTTAATTAGTATAAAAAAATAATAAAGGCGCTATCGAAAACATTTGTCATTTTCCATGTTCAATATAAGCATTTAAGACCATACTGAGCCAAAATAATTGTCCATTTCATGGATATTTAATTATAAATTATATTCAATTTGTCCATTATGTACTTTTAATTATTAAACCTTCCATTACACTTACAAAAATACTTTATAAAGTTTTTTTAATAGTTAACTTATAATTATATTATGTGGTAAAAAATAAAAAAAATATAATAAGAAGAATGGGAATTGAAAACGAACACGGCGGGGTTACAATTTGGGTCTCAGTTTGAACATCACTACCATAGTAAGAGAGAGAGAGAGAGAGAAATAGAGAGAAGGGGGGGATTTGGGCCCATAAAAAAAAAGAGAGAACCTGAAAAAAAAAGTCAACTTAAATTTTTGTTTCTGGAGGTAAAAGAGGGTCCTTTGAAATAGGAGTGAAAGGGCATCGAGGGGGATGGTTCGTAGACTTTATAAAAAAAATCAGTTTGTGGTAGGAAATGGTTTTGGGGTATCTTGATGGCATGATTTGAGGTGCGAAGGCAATCTGTGGAAAAAAGAAAGCAAAGCTGTTATTAAGTTGCTTTAAGAAGTATGCTTTCTTGGCAAGGTCTAATCTTTCAAGTACCTATCAAAGAAGGGGCCTAGTCTTTGAAGTGCGAGGAGGTGCTCTAGTGTCCCTTTCTCTTGTGGACGCCTAATGATTGCAACATGGATCATCATTTTAATTTTTGAGAGAAATTGCAGTGATATTTCCTGTTGGGACAGTCTCAGTTCTTTAGTATGTAATAAAATGGCTGATTCTGGTGGGAGCAGGATACATTTTATCAGATTGGTAAAAGTCGGAGGCTTCTTAACTCTGTGTTGCTTGTGTGAAAGGGAAGGGAAGAGAAAGCTTTGGTTGTTTTTTGTGGTCAGCTGAGAGAAATGTGGTGTTTAATTACCTTGTTTTTTAAATTAGCTGGTCTTCCGTCTGATGTCCTATGTCTTGTGCCGTGGTGTCAGATACAAGTGTTGAATGGTCATGAGATTGTGATTTGAAGGGCAACTCATCTTTGCTTGAGTTGAATCCATGTAGGATTATTAATTTCCAATTTTTTTATTTCGCAAGTAAAGTTCACTTGCATGCTAGAAATTTGAGAATATACACATGTGAGCACATGTAAGGGGAATTGATGAAAAAAGACCGAGTATTTAAGCTATATGTTTTGAAACCATTACCATCAATATCGAAATGGATTTTCAATCCAAAATAAGCCACAATTCTCTTCAACCTTTCAAGAATTTGAATTTATTTATTAACCAATATGAGTTGACTCAAATTCCCATCACCAATAAAATATCATTTAATTTTTCTTGTCGACTTTAGCAGAAATTCATATTTCATAAATCTTAGGCTAGCGGTGTTAATTGTCTATCAGCTTAAGGAGCAATTTGTCTCATTGCTGAAGTTTGAGTATGGTTCTTAGTTCTGCATACATTGAACGTTCTCTACTTTTATTGTTTCACATATAAAATATTAAAATATGATTTTGTCTAGTGTGTGGTACAGCTCAGCAGATTTATTATTTTACTTTTGTGTTTATCTGATTCTTGTCGCCCGTCTCAGCTAAATCAACTCACTTTTTCTCCTGCCCTATGTAGTTTTTTCTTGGATTGGCTGAAATCTCAACCTGCTTTTGAGGTTATATCATATGTGGTCTCCAACATATTCTTTGTACTTACAGGTTAACTTGCCTTCCTCACTGGAAGAGGAAAGGTATTCCTTCCTAAATAAAAAAAACAACAGATTTGTAGGGCTGTAATCCTTTTTGTTTAGTTCCTGTGAATCCCTTTCAATTTGTCATTTATTGTGATTCAGACAATGATTCTCTGATTTAATAATTTTTTGTTAAGAAATAAGTTTTTTTCTCATGAAATACCTGATTATGTAGTACCCATCATTTGATCTTTTATCATATCTTAATTGAAGACTTTATGAATTAATTTATTTAGGATTCAGAGAACGACCACATATACCACTCAGAGCTTTTCACATTGACGAAACGGATGACCAGAGGAGAACCACAGAAGCTTTCCTTTACTTTGCCAATTTTCGAACCACATCCTCCTCAGTACTACATTCGTGCTGTTTCTGATTTTTGGTTGCATGCGGAGGCTTTATACACTGTATCTTTCCAGAATCTGGCACTTCCAGAGGTTCCTTCTAATATATTATCCATTTAATTTTAACACAGCACTTTCGTTTGTTTTTTTCCGTAAAGCATTTTGATCTTGTGAAAGTCCTCATGTAGTTACTATTTGCTCAGGCTCATACAACCCATACTGAACTTCTAGATTTAAAACCTCTCCCTGTGACTGCGCTTGGCAACAAAACTTATGAAGCCTTGTACAAATTTTCGCACTTCAATCCTATTCAAACACAGGTTCTTATTCAGTGACCTTAGCCTAAGTTTTCGCTAAACTCAGTTTCTGACTCAATGCTCTAATGGATTTTGACAGACTTTTCACGTGCTGTATCACACTGACAACAATGTTCTGTTGGGAGCTCCAACTGGCAGTGGAAAAACTATATCTGCTGAGCTCGCTATGCTTCATCTATTCAACACTCAGCCTGATATGAAGGTATGGACTTAATTTTTTCCTTGCAATCTTGACCTTTCATATTTCCCTACGGACATGTCATGGACATCTGAAAGCTTGATCAAGTGACCCATATTCTTGGACTGAGATCTCACTTTGATCAATTATTACCGTATTCCTTTATGTGACGGCATGATTTCATTAGCAGTTTTAGATTTATCATTCAAAATTGTAAACTGTCCTCAATACCTAACTAGGCATGGGTTAATGCCTAAGATGGTCAACTAGAGGTGGAAGCCTCGTGCACTAGGCTGCCTTTTGTTCATTTAGATTTACCAGTGGCATGCTTGATTGTTGCTTCAATGCAGGTTATTTACATAGCACCTTTAAAGGCTATTGTTCGTGAAAGGATGAATGATTGGAGAAAGCGACTTGTGTCTGAACTTGGAAAAGAAATGGTGCTAACAATTTCTACAAATTCTACTACTGAAATTTTACAATACTACAATTTTAAAGCTCAAACTGTTAGTATTAACAAGATGTTTGGAACAGGTTGAAATGACAGGGGATTATACACCAGACTTGATGGCTCTCTTGTCAGCAGATATCATAATTTCTACTCCTGAAAAGTGGGACGGTATCAGTCGTAACTGGCATAGTCGTAGCTATGTCACTAAGGTGCATTATTTTAGGTGTTTATTGGCTTTTGTTTATATCAAAACTTATGTTCCTTGATTGATTATTGATTACAATTCTTTGATGTTTGAAACTTCTATGTGCAGGTGGGACTTATAATCTTGGACGAGATTCATTTACTTGGAGCAGATCGTGGACCTATACTTGAGGTATACTGTATATAGTTGTAGTTGGTACGGTATATTTATTTACATATTTTGTGCACAACTGATACGGATTCTTTGAATTTTACTTTTATCAACCTTATGAACGATAAATTGGGTAAAAATGAAATTTTATTTTCACATACATGCTATCACACCCCGGTCTTCGTAATCCAAAATCTGAGGGGTGAGGTGTATACAAATCCCGAATTAACAGCCCAAATTAATATTCATTATCAAGCGAATAAAAATTTCCACTGTTTAAGGTGTTTCTAATGCCAAACATAATACAAGTCTGCCCAGAATTTTCCCCGGGCCATATCCGTTAGACTTGTTTGATTGCTGGCCTGTACTAGATTTTTCATTTGCTTTGAAACAGCTCTAAAAAGATACAAAACAATGTAGGATGAGCATAATAAACTCAGTAGGTAAATAATGTTTGAATTGTCATTATCCGAAATTTCATAATTGATACATAAAAAAATGGTTCTTTGTTGAGCATTTAAAATACTGTGCCACACCAGAGAATTAGTAAGCAATACTTAGGCATTGAATGTCAAATTTCAATCACATTTAACATTTTAGGGACTTTCACCTCAGGAAGATATGCTCCCTGTGTATCAGCTGGTACCCAAGCCCGAATAATACTGGGGCACTATGCAGCTTCAAAATTGATGCACCAAACATCAGAATTTTCGTATTCTAACACTAGACTTGCATTCTTGGACCCCAAAAACATAGGACTAGGTTTTCCTTTCGAATTAAAAACCTGTTTTTCAAAACCCGAAATTCCATGCTCTTGACTAAATTTTTGTTTTTAATTTCTTTTCAAATTCTTGACGTCTACTGAAATTAAATCTTATAGGGAAGTTAGATATCAATAACAGAAGTTGTTTAAAGCTTTAAATTAGTAAAAAACATGTAGAGTCTTAGTACCCACTATTTTCGACATATTAGGGTTTTAAAACCTGGATTTCTTCTTGGCCAAAATACACCTTCTTAGATCAATTAAAACCTAGAAAGCTACTCTAAATAGGTATAGAAATCTCTACAAAGCTTCAAAGATTTGAGTTTGGGTTGAAATTTGAGCAGATCTTCCCCTCTCTCCTTTGTTTCCTTCTCTTCCTCTCTTCTTTCTCTCCCTACAAATTCCCCTTATTTCAAATGACATTAGCACTTTTTCTTCTCAAATGAGGCTCCATTTTATAGCCAAAATTGACCAGCTTGTGATGGTTTTCTGCATTATTGGAGGAATTACACCACCTACTTCCATTTAGGGTCCTAATTGGACCTTAGTTTTCCCCAATCCGGATTTTTTTTATCATTATGAGAATATTTAATATATTTTAATATTGTATCTGTTTATGTTTATTTTATATATATATATATATATATATATATATATATATATATATATAATTTTCCAATTGTAGTGGATGTCTCGTTGGGTGTTACAAATCTACCCTTCTAAAAAAAAGGTTTTGTCCTCAATACATGAATTGGATTTATTTCACTAGTCAAAATGTTAAACAAATTAGTTCAGATAATTGTATTCATTACAAACGACTTATTCACGCTACATTTTCATTTTTTGGGTATCATAGTGCACACTCTTCCCTTTCTCAAATTGATTTGGTCTTTGTTCACATGAGGTTGTATTGGTTGTGAAGCCGACTTTGGTGGTACTCTCAAACTCTCCCCTTCTTGATAAGAACCTTTTCCGGATTGTCTTACTTGTGGGCACCTTGTCCTTGCATGCCCAACCTTTCTACAATGATATCATGTTTGCCAATCCGAACCATTCTTGCCATCATTCGTTCCTACCCTAGAATTATTGAGTTTTGGTCATTCTTTCTGTTATTATCCATCACTGGCCTCGGATATGGGTGACCTCTCTGTAGTCCATTAAATCCACTGACCTGGTTTATCAAGTTTTATCACGTTGTTGGTGTTGTTGTTGCCTTTCCTGTTTCCTAGTATGCTCCTAGTCTTTTTCCACAATCAAAGTTACTTCCACCTTTTCCCCATAATTCTTGGTTCTAATGAGAAAGATCTTTCCCTAAATGTTGGTGTAGTCCTTGCTCGAACCATTTGGCCTTCTTTGCTTCGATTCGATTGGTAGAGTACTTTGTTGCAATGTTAGAACTTTGAGCACCATATTATCACGAGTACTCTTGGTGAAGTACTTCGTGTTGAAGACTTCTTTGAAAGCTTCCCAGGTCATTTCCTCGATGTTCCTTTTTCCTCTTCACTGATTCCTACCAGTAGTTTGTCTCTCACTCAAATAGATAAGTGGCAAATCCAACGTGTAGATTCGCTTGAATCTTCATTTCATCCCTCACTTTCTTAACCTGATGGAGTCTTTTTTGGTCAGTACTGCCTTGGAAAGTGCCCCCCTCGGGGGGGGGGGGTGTTTGTATTGGTGGTCTCACATTCTCTCTTACTTGCTGATTTGGTGAGGGGGATCTTTCCCAATTTATCTATTATTGAGGATCTCCCTCCAGATCCTCAATAATAGATAAATTGGGAAAGATCCCCCTCACCAAATCAGCAAGTAAGAGAGAGCGATTTATTCAATAGGATTTCTATGGTTTTTATGATTTCTGGAAGGCTCATGTAATTGAATTTGTATTAAAGTTGTCAGAGTCTTTGTACATTGGTATACTTGGTGTAAACCCATTTGTTCAAGTCTCTCCTGCTATTCATGATTGGTTTAAAATTGTGGATTTCTTGGAGACCTTCCTCGTCCTTTCTTGGTCTTTGTAAGTCTAAAAAGACAACATACACCATTTAGTCCCAAACCAAGACAGTAGTATACATCACAACAATCAAAATTTATTTATTTCACATTGTTGTCAACATTTTACACAAGTCTCACACATGCATTGATTACTATCCTAGATATTACTATTTTACAGATCGAAACTCTATCTAGGATATGGCATTAAGAAAAAGGTCAGGGTCATTTTGGTTCCCTCCCTAGGAGTCCCCGCAACCGAATTGTTGGTAGAGTCCGACTCTGAGTCTATAACAATGGGTGCATTTAGGTCTATTTTGGGTAGCCCATTAGGTGCATTGGGGTTCATCTTAGGCATGTCTAGTTGCCCATTTGGAATCTTGGGGTAAACCCTTGTCGGGTGCTGGTAGAGTTCATATTTTATATGTGTTGAAGCAGTGTTATTTAAGGCGTAAAACGAATCAAAGTGAACCGGTCTCCTGAGGGCCTAGGCGAGAAGCGAGAAGCGAGAAGCGAGACGAGCGCTTCATTGAAGCAAAGCGAACAATATAAAAAATAAGCAAATATTTTAGTTCATACTTTTATTACACCTAAATATTCAAATTTTAACTTTACAAATATAAAATATTTAAATGCAATCAAAATAATAAACATCAACATATTTTAAATAGACAAAATATTAAATATTGAACATTATTGTATTCTAAAAATAATCAATTGACATAATCACGTCATCTAAATGTAAAGTTAGCAAATGTGGGTTCGATTTTTACCATGATTGATTAATATCACCACTAAACAAGCACTCACAAATTGATTAATCAATTTTGATTAACTAAGCAAATTGATTAACAAGAGCATTCACATCAAAATAAAGCATTCAATATTATCTAATCATAATAAGATAATTGTCATATGATATTGTTACACGAATCAATCAATTTATTTTATATATATACACATATAATATCAATATCTCTGCTAGGGTTTGGTTAATGTTTAAAGAAGAAGAGGGGGGAGGAGGAGAGGAGAAAATAAAAAAATTGCAGTCAGGCGTTCGCTTTTCTCGCCAGGCTCGCTTCTTCACTTTGTGGTTTAAAGTTCGTTTTTTCCTCGCTTTAGTTAACCTCGCTTCGCCTTGAATGTTCAAGGCGACCAAGGTTCGTTTCGCTTCACTTCTCGCCTAGGCGCTCGCTTTTCACACAACACTGTGTTGAAGGGTAGTATTGTAATTCACATGATATAAGTTTAGTATAAATAAGTGTCGCAAAACGTAGCCTATGCATAGATTATTCTCATCTTCTCTCATTCTTTCCCCTCTCTCTTAATCTTCTTCACTTTTCTCTCTTTTTCCTAGCATATTATCGTAGCCTTTACTTCATAACTTGGTACCAGAGCATTCATTCTAGGGTTTTTTTTTCTCATCGATGAAAAGTGTCATGTGAACAGTAATCGATGAATGGTGTCGCGTGAAAAATAACTACGTGAACAATATCGATGAACAGTAATTTCGTAAGTCATAACTAGTGGCTCGATGAACAATGATTCACAATGAACAGTAGGTGCGTGTCCTTGTTTGGTTGTTCTATGATTTGTTGTTATAGATGGTTGATTTAGTTGTGATTCTTCATCGGAATTACAGCTAATAATCTCAGCCATTTGTTGTTTGTTTGTGTATGTGATTTTCGTGATTTTTTTGGTGTCAGATCACTGTTCCGTTGGTAATTTCTTTGGGGACATTTCAATGCAAACTAGTTAGGTGCTATTAGAAATCTAGGAAGTGAGATTTGTGATTTCTAGAGGTTTGTTGTTGGTTTCAACGTGAATTCTATGAGTTTAGTCTTTGACTATTGTTTTGGCCTTTAACAGTGATCAGGGTTGTTCTAGGTTGCTTCAATGTGTTGTTGGTTATGGTTGATGATTTGTGGTTGGTTCGCTTCAGTTTAGGAAGCATGGATACGAGTGCAAGATACGATACAGATATACATCGATATAGGAAAATCCTAAAAAATAGGATACGAGTTTGGTCAGGATATGTCTATAAATATGTATATTTTACATTTGTACTATTATGTAATTACTTGATAGCTTTAATTTTTATTGATTCTTTAGCAATAATAAATAGCATTAACATTTTTTTTATTTCAAAAAAGTTACCTATTGTCTAACTATGATACTTCTACAAGTGTACATGATGAATTAAAGGAATAAGAATCAAAAATTAACTAGATAGTTTATTTAGAAATATTAGTTGCTAAGATTATAGAGT